ACCAAATAATTTTTAAAACCAAATAATTAAATTAAATAAACTGTATTTGAAGTAATAATTTCTGTATATTTGAAATAAATACCATTTCAAATAATAATTATTTGATACAAATAAATATTTATTTGATAATAGCCTAATAATTATTAGTTATTAATTATTTATTAGTTATTAATCACTAATTAATTATATTGATTGTTGTTAACTAATTTTATTGGTAAATAATTATTGGTTTAAGTATTATAATTAATTATATTTATTGTTGTTAACTAATTTTATTGGTTAATAATTAATTGTTTTGATTTTTAATTAACTGAATTGATTATTATTGTTATTAATTAATTAATTAATTATTAATTATCTATAAATTGTAATTATACCTTATTATAATGAACGAATTATAATTAATTAATTACTCAATTATAATTAATTTATTAATTACTATAGTTAATTAAATTAAATTAATTAATAAAATAAAATTAATTTATTATTAAAATAAAATGAATTAATAATTATTTTTCTTCAATTAAATATTATTCATAATAAATAAATAATTGTTTCTCCAATACAAGTGGAAAAAATTGGCAAAATAAAAATTTTGAAAATAAATTTTTAATGCACTTACCTTAAAACAAGGAGAAGTTTTTCTTAAAATTAGTGTCCAAATTCCAAACAGTTCAATAATGACAGAACTTACCTGAAAAATAAAAGAAATTATATTTTTTAAAATACAATAAAAAAAATAATAAAAATTATTTTAATTTGACAATTTTTAAATAATATTTTTTTCAAAGTACCAAAGTAACATTGTTACTTTCTTCAATAACGGTAACGACAACTACAGTGAAAGTTATGCAGAGAAAAAGTTTATAATTTTTTTCAAAAATTATAAATTCAAACAAGTTTTCTCCTCTGATAGTTTCTCATTATTATCAGTAATTATTTATTTGTTTATTTATTTAACCTTTTTAGCCTTGAATACCTGTAGAAAAGTGGACTATTGGTATCCATATAATTTTTTTTAAAAAATGTTATCAAGTTTCTCTTTACATTTCTAGATGTACATTACATTTTCTTTATTAAAAATTTCTTTTTTTTTTTGCTACCCTGGCCATTGGCTTATTGATTGATTACATTGCACGGTATTCTCCCCTAGAATGACCTGAATAAATGATGAAGAGCTGTCTAGTCATGTGCAGAATCAGTTTTCTTTATGATTTTAAAATAGTTATCAAATTAACTTAATTTTTCAACAAAAAAAAAAAAATGTCATACTATTTATATTATAAAAAATATATTTCTTTTAGAATTAAAATTTATTGCAAATGCATTTAATTTGATTCAAAAAAATATTTATTTCAAATACATTTTATTTGATTCAAATAAAAATTTTATTATTGCATAAACAAATATTTTTTTATACACTATATTTTTATAGATAAAAAAATATTTATTTATTTAAAAAAATACCAAATTTTTTTTTTTTCACGCACATTCTAGTACCTGTAAATTTTCTTCTTTTTTGTTTCTCGCACTTTTAGTGAGAATAATTTTTTTTCTATTTTCTCAAAAATTCTAAATTGCCAAAAAAATTTCTGTTCTCTTTTTTAATTGGACTTGCGGTGTAACGAACCAAAAAGATATGTCGAGTAAAGTTCTCTCATCGGAATTCTCGTTTGTTTTAGACAAACATTCATTTTCTCTCGCTAATTTTAAAAAATATTTTTTTTCCCCAAAGAAAACAAAAGTTTTTGTTTCTGTCTATTTTAAAATTATATTTAAAATTATAATAATATATAATTAATAATTGAATTTTAATATATTAAATAATTACTTAAATAAATAAAAAATATACTAGAAAAAAAATAGAATAGAATAGAATTTTAATATATAATATCAATAATAGTAACAAATTTATTTTTCTCCGTGTATAATTATTACATTATATTTATAATAGTTGTATATTAAAGAATCTATGAAAATTCGCAGAATACAAAAAAAATATTATAATTTCTATTATATAAATCGTATTAAATATTCGTATTCTGAAATCTCTTTGACATGAAAGAAGGTTATATTTTGAAAGCATGAACCTGTTCTTATTTCGAGCCGTCAGGTTTAATAAGCAATTAACTAGCTGGCATCAGCTATGTCAAAAGTTAACATCTCCCGCCGTTTGATATGAAAATTGAAAGACGTCAGTCAGTAAATCTCTATATACTTAAAAAAATGAAATAAAATTCTTTTCAGCAAAGTTCTATATTTAGAATCATTTTTCAAAACAAATGATTTAAAATCCAAAAGAAAAAAGAAACTACAATATTTTATTTTCAACTCAATATATTATCAAAAAAATTCATTTAATCCAATTCACAATATTGAGCAAATATATCAACAGTTATAGGAAAAAAATGAAAATTTTATTTTAATTACACTGGAATCTCAGTTACTGAGACAAAAGTTTTTTCTATGTTAAAAAAATGTATGTGTATATTCAATAAAAATTTTAAAAAAATAATAAATGACTAAAAATTTATTTTTATTAAAATAAACAAAATAAATAAAATACACTCGAACCTTTGTTACTGAGACACAAGCGTATCTCAATATCTCGAGTTTCAGTGTATGTAAACAAATAATAAAATTTTATTAAAACAAATAAAATAACTAAAATAAATAAATAAAATACACTCAAACCTCTGTTACTGAGACACAAGCGTGTCTTAATATCTCGAGTTTCAGTGTATGTAAACAATAAAATTTTATTAAAATAACTAAAATACTCTCTAAATATAAATTGGTAAAAAAGTTTACTAATTTGAATTATTGACTTACTTTTTGCTTCTCAATTAGTAAAATTTAACTAATTCTACAGCAAAAAGTGAATCACTAATTTAAATTAGTAAACATTTTTACCAATTCAAATGTAGAGAGTAAATAAATAAAATACACTCAAACCTTTTTTACGGAAACACAAGCGTGTCTCAATACCTCGAGTTTCAGTGTATGTAAACAATAATAAAATTTTATTAAAATAAATAAAATAACTAAAATAAATAAAATACACTCAAACCTCTGTTACTGAGACACAAGCGTGTCTCAATATCTCGAGTTTCAGTGTATGTAAACAATAATAAAATTTTATTAAAATAAATAAAATACACTCAAACCTCTGTTACTGAGACTCAAGCGTGTCTCAATATCTCGAGTTTCAGTGTATGTAAACAATAAAATTTTATTAAAATAACTAAAATACTCTCTTAATCTGAATAAGTAAAAAAGTTTACTAATTTGAATTAGTGAGTCACTTTTTGCTTCTCAATTAGTAAAATTTTACTCATTTTTAGTAACTTTTACTAATTTTTAGTAACTTTTACTGACAATTAATAAAATTTAACTAATTCTAAAGCAAAAAATGAGTCACTAATTTAAATTAGTAAACATTTTTACTAATTCAAATTTAGAGAGTAAATAAATAAAAAATACACTCAAACCTTTGTAACTGAGACTCAAGCGTGTCTCAATATCTCGAGTTTCAGTGTATGTAAACAATAAAATTTTATTAAAATAACTAAAATACTCTCTTAATCTGAATAAGTAAAAAAGTTTACTAATTTGAATTAGTGAGTCACTTTTTGCTTCTCAATTAGTAAAATTTTACTCATTTTTAGTAACTTTTACTAATTTTTAGTAACTTTTACTGACAATTAATAAAATTTAACTAATTCTAAAGCAAAAAATGAGTCACTAATTTAAATTAGTAAACATTTTTACTAATTCAAATTTAGAGAGTAAATAAATAAAAAATACACTCAAACCTTTGTAACTGAGACTCAAGCGTGTCTCAATATCTCGAGTTTCAGTGTATGTAAGCAATAATAAAATTAATAATTTTACACGCGCTACCTAAGTGATAATTAATAATTAATTTTCACACTTTTGTTACTGAGACAAAAAAAATGTCACAATTCAGTAAAGTGCGTCTCACTAACACGAGTTTCAGTGTATGTACAAAAAAATGTTAATACCTATTATTTCAATATTATAAATTGATAATAATACCAATAATAATAATATTATTATTAATAATAATTATATAAAATATGATAATAAAATAATAAAATAAATTTTTTTTTTTTGTATAACATTTCCACAAGTAAATTATCTAATGAACAAAACAAAATCTAATTCTAAAAAAAAACAATATGCACTTTATCATAGCAAAAAAAAAAAAAAAAAAAAGTGGTATTGGAATTGACACCCCTTTTTCCATAAAATAAAATTTTCCAACCATCAGATATCAATATCCACAATAACCCCTCCATTAATCAATAGTGTAGACACACCCATGTTATATACCATACATACACATTTATATATTCCCCAGCAAAAGTTGGGTTATTATTTTTATGCATTTTATACTCTCACACCGGGAAAATATAGAACTCTTTGAAAAATCAATATGGACACTAGGTCAAATACTTGGATCTCCGGGAGATTTAAAGCTCGATTCTTATATATATATACAAAATCGAAATTTCCAAGGGACGCATCCTCCTGGCGAACATGGGTTTTATTAAATTAAACAAAAAAAAAAAGAATCATTTTTTTTTTTACACTTTAGAATTATTTTTCATTTTGGAAAAACAATTCATTTTTTAAATAATTCATGTAAATCTCAAAAAATTGACGAATAATAATAATAATGATGATGATGATGATGATGAATCATATCAGTTTTTGACATAAAATGTAATCCAGTGAGATATGGGTGGGTTTGCCGCGCCGGCGGCAAGGGAAAATAAGAAATTCCATCTTTTGCGCTTGCGCTTATCGAAAGCTCTGCTCTCACTCGTCCAGGAGGTCGTGCGTTTCGCTGTTCTGTTCAGTGAACCGGTGAAAGCGCCGCTGTCAGAATCGCGAAGGTTCTTTTTTTTCAAAACAAAAAAAAAATTAAAAATTAAAAAAAATCTCCCAAAAAATTAGTGAGAATTTTGAAAAAAAATCAGTTGCAAAAAAAAACGAGAACAAAATAGTTTTTAAATAAACAATGAAAAAAACAAAAATCTGAACCTTAAGGATCATTATATATATATATATAAATATATATGATACATCCCTAGAACCTCTATTTCATCCGGGTCGCGATAATGCTTATCATTTATTAACGACTGATGTCGCTGCCATAGGCGCCAGTGTATTTTGAGGTTAAGTTACAATAAACTTACTGCGGTGACGATCCGAGCACTCGAAACAGAACAGATGAACCGCATATGTATATATATATATATATATGTACACAAAAAACACACGTGCGATCAACCACGTGTGTATATATATGTGTGATTTAAATTGTCACCTCTTCTCAAAAAAATGACTACCTCTTTTATCATCCCTTTAGATTCTTAAATTTCTTTTTTTTTCAAAAACCGGTTTTAATAAGAATTTTATAATTTGATCACGAAACCCAGATATTTTTTTTCCTGACATTTAAATAACAGTTCAGAATTTCTCCTGAATAGCAATTTCAAAAAAAAAAAGGAAGAAAAATTTTTTTTTTAAACCGTTTTAATTTTCTTTTTTTTGGAAATTAAATTCGATTCTTTAAATAAAAAATTTGTGCTTGAGGGAAAGAGAAAGAGAGAGAGAGAAAAAAAATTGCATGTTCGACATGCATTTGGTTTCAGGAACCTTGAACAGCATCAGTGGTAGTGAAGGAGGCTTTATAGGAACTAGTACGTCAAACCACAGCATTTCCATAAATGGGCTTTCAACATGAACACAATACATTATCAAATCCACACATCTTTACTTTATATATGTATATACAATATAATAGGGATTGCATAACGAGGGGTGGGTGATTGTGAAATGATAAACATTCAAGACTACTTACATGCATTTGAGAGAATATACATATTAGGGAAGAAGTAAACCTGAATTTTCTTCTCAACGAAGATAAACAGGGTAAGCATTTTTTTTTTTTTTATAAAACCATTTTTTTATGGTGTTTATTAATTACTATTTTTTAATATTACTTTTTTTTATTATTACTATTTTAATATGTAATTGATATTAAAATATTGTTTATATATGCGGCGCCCTCTGAAGAAAGAAACATTAATTATAGGTTATGTTTCATGATAGTTTGAAGGGTAAAACTATCATAAACATAACCTATAATTATTTGCCTCCTAGACCCCATTTTCAATATAAAACACTGGAGAATAATTTTGAAAAATCTCATGGGGAATCGAACCTAGGACCCTTGGAACGCGAGCATTGTACTTTAACCATACAGCTACGTTAACTTACACATCAATTTATATAACAATTCATCTTTTTGAATATTACGACTCTACTACCTTTTGTTTATGATAACAAAATAATTAAATATTTTCTAAATTTTTATATCTAATAATAGTTAATCGATTTAATAATTATAATTAATTATTTTCATGTAATTAAATGTTCTATAATTAATTATTTACATATAATTAATTGTTCTATAATTAATTATTTACATATAATTAATTATTCTGTAATTAATTATTTACATATAAATTAATTATTCTGTTATTAATTATTTACATATAAATTAATTATTCTGTAATTAATTATTTTATAATTGATTATTTAAATAATTATAATTAATTTATTTAAAAATTTTCAAATAAATTTCCTATAAAATCACTATATTTGTTACATTTACCATAAAAATTAGATTTTTTTTTTTTGATTGTGTACGATATAGGAAAGAATTTCATACGAAACACGACTTTTATCGTAAAAAAATGAAGGGACATTTTCCTTTATCAAAAGGTGACATTGTTTTATTATATATATATATATATATATATAGAAGAGGAGGGCGTAGATATTGTCTCTCAAGAAACAATTATTATCACAAGAACAACATGCATTGTTCTATCCAGGAAGAATATGTTTTTTTTACTTCTATTCAATGCATCTAAGTTGAGACAATAAATACCATATATTTTTTTTTTCTTGTAAACAAAAACAATAGCCACATTTTTCATATGTGTATAACAAAAATGAACCAAAAAAACCCAATAAACAAGATAATAACAATAACAATAACAATAACAATAACAATAATAATAATAATAAATAATTATATCATTGAAATAATTGATAAAATATTTTTACTTGATATATAGAACTTGTACCAAAAATAATAATAAATAAATAAAATAATAATAATAATAATAATTACATCATTGAAATAATTGATAAAATATTTTTACTTGATATATCGAACTTGTACCAAAAATAAAATAGTACTTGAGTTTAAAAAAAAAAAAAAAAAAAAATTTCCAAAATGGCTACGAGGATGCGCTGTAACCACGCATACATGAAGTCAATGGCGTCAGTTTTATTTACTTTTATGTGAAGATGAGTATGAATAAAAGAAAAATTATCTCTTTAAATATTCTCATCTTTTATTGACACTTCGTTATTCGAATTTATTAAGATTTATTATTATTTCAAATATTTATTAAATCAATAAATACCAAATATTAATACTTTAGTTTAATTTAATTATTATCAAATAATTAATATCAGATAATAATTATTATTAAATATATTACTAATTTTTATTTATTACAATTATCAATTATTACAAATTTATTTTATTTTTATTCAGTACTAATAATTAATTATTATTGATTGTATTATTACTTTAATTTTTATTATTTTTATTATTATTATTATTATAAGTATTATTATAAATATAGTATTATTATAAATTTATTATAATTTATTTATTATATAATAAATTTATTTATTATAAATATTAGTAGTATTATTATAAATAAATAAAATTTTTTTTTAAATTTAAAAAATTACTGTAACATTAAGAAAATCAGGTTTTATTTTATAGACAGATGTTACCTGATGTATATTTATATATAATTAAAATATATATATATATAATAAATCCGGAAAAAGTTTCAAGCACATGAATATATAAATTACGGCGAATAATGTTACATTAATTACAGGTTTGCTTATACACACATGGACATGTATACTTATACATGACTATTTACAAAAATATATGAACAAGAACACATTTATCTCGTTATAATTAGATGCGGAAACATTAACTCCGATCTACAGGTGAACTTTCATAAAAGATTAGTAATAAAAATTCAAAATCAGGTTTTGAAATACTTTTCGGCATATAAACATATATATTTTGTAATACACATGGCAATGAATATTTCATTTTATCGTAAGCCTTAGAGAAATAGAATCAAATTTGTAACTACAATTGTAATTCTAATTTTTTAATTATAATTATAATTAATTAATTAATTAATTAATTAATTAAGAAAAAGAAGAGTTAACAAAGAAAAAATTTTAATTTTTTATCTATTATGTATATAAATGAAATTAGGTATTAAAAATTTTTTCACAGATTAAATAAACTATAAATTTTTATCATCCCGCACATGTGTGCGACATAATGAATGTCATTATTTACAGACGGAAAAATCAAATTAATGCATAGAGGAAGTTCCTCATTTTTTTTTTCTTTTTTTTTTATATCAAAGCAGAAGTTTCTCATTAAGTTCATTATGATCTTTGATCTACGCACATAGTTTGTGGTGATACAATAAGATATATCCACACACATTGTACGTAAATATATAATTCGAGTGCATTTTAATGAGTATAATAAACATAACTTTTTATCGAGAGAGAGAGACTGTGTGTTATAATTTTGTAACAACTGTATCGATGGTGGTATAATTATTTAAATCATACCAGAGAAATTATTATTATATAAAATATAACACATTATATATTATTTATTATTATTATTATTATTATTATTAATATTATTAATATTATTATTATTATTATATATATATTATTTATTATTATTATTTTTTTTATTTTTTTTGCGTAGCATTTTTGTAATTTATTTTCCAAAAAACTAAAAATGATTCACTGTAAACCACTGATCCACTGTTGCCCACTCTCCCCCATATGTAACAATATAAAGAGCCAATAAGCGAGAAGATTCAGCGGAAGAATGGAGTAGTGAGAATACTCTAACCCTTCGACGCCTCCACAATCAATACTTTTCAACATGTCCACTTTTATATATATATATAAAGATTAAAATTTTTTTTCAAAATTTTTTGATAATACTCAATTTAAAAGTAAGATGGAAAAATTTTTCACAGTATTTTGAAATAAAATTATAAAAATTGTTTTTTTATTGTTAATTAAATTAAAAAATTAAGTAATAATATTAATAAATAATAATAATAAATAATAATAAATAATAATAATAATAATAATAATAATAAATAATAATAATTAAATAAATAATAATGAATAATAATAATTAAATAAATAATAATAAATAAATAATAAATAAATAATTAAATTAATTGTTTATTGCTTATTATTTCAATAGTAAAAAAAAATTATTTTGAAAACTATTGTTTTTTGCGAAATATTTTGCGATTAAGCTTTTTCAAAAGAGTATAGAATATTATATGCGAAAATAAGACCAGCATAAAATTTGATCCCTTTTCTCTCTGGGCTTAAATTTTTGTTTGCCAAGAAACACAATACAGTAGGAATTGTAATATAATATAATGACCGATTTGAGAGAATAACAACAAAAACAAAATAAAACCAAAAAATTTGTTTGTGAAGCACCACAAGAAGAAATACGATAACCCGTTTTATATATACAAACAACTTATATGTATAATCTCTAAAAAGAAAAAAAAATAAAAAAAAAATAACATTTTTGATTTAAAAAATCTTTTGTTACAAAATTTTTGTGCATTATATATATCTATTTAATGCAAATATATTTTAAAGTGAGAACAAATTATGATCCATTAGATAAAATCGTGTGATAATCTCAACACGTGAATGTAGGTGTAATAAAATTAGACTTAATTATTTTGAACTGGATTTCGGAAATGAGATTAAATTTACCGTAAGAATTTAGTTTGATTATCAAATTGTAATAGTAAAATATAATAATATAATTAAAATATTTAATAATAATAATAATAATATTTCAATTATTTTATTAATAATAATTTAAAATTTAAATAAATAATAATAAAAATTATATTGGTTTAAAATACAGAAATTATTGATTCAAATAAAAATTATTTGATTCAAGTAAATATATTTATTTGATAATAGTCAAAAAGAAATAAATTTTTTTTTCAGTGTAATTATTACGTTTGAAAAAAAATTGTTTGTTAAAATTTTTGAGAAAACAAAATTTTAAATAATTAATTAAACACACGACGTCTTGTATCTTTGATGTTCAACGAAGGGTTAAAAATATTCAACATTCTCTTTAATCAAGATAGATTGAATTAACATTTTTGAGGTATAAACCACAAATTTAAACTCATTACATTATTATTAAGAAAACTTCTTTCTAAAAAAGAAAAAAAAAAGAAAGAAATGATCTCTAATTATATTCTCTGCATTTGGTGCAACTCATTTAACATAAAATTGTATTTTAATGAACATATATATCTTATTATCCATATATGGATTATTACTTCAGTGAAATAAAACTTGATTATAAAATTTTCAACCCGAGATAATTTATGTAAATTCAAACTAATTTTTTTCTCTTGCTATTTTCAATGACCTTTTTCCCCAATTCCATTTCAAATGTATATATACAAAATAAGAACAAAATTAAATTTACAAACTCAATATTTTGATATTCAATTTTTGCTTATTTCTTTTTTCTACTCTTCAAAAATTTCATTTTTTCCAAATATTGAAATCGCAGTTAATTTTTTATCATTCAAATCGGATTTAAATTCATCAAAAAAATGTATTCTTCATTTTTATGTGAAAAATTTTTTTTTTCCAAGAGTTGCGCGAATCTCGACGCACATACAGAAAGTAAAAAAAAAAAAAACAAACAAACGCTTCTC